ATAAGTTTTCGCATTTCTGATACTGCACGATATCCCTTTTGTCTCGCCTGTCACAATAGCACAAAATTCTCGTTTTAATTAAAAGGAAAAAGTACTGTTTACTACATTAAGTCATTTTTCGGCATAAAACCCGATCTAACAAAAAATAAAAAAACCTATATCCGTCTCCCTTCCGCTTCCGAAAAAACTTAGGTTATAAAATCCGAGTGTACGGGTAAAACCATTAATATTCTCTTAAAATGTCAACGTACACGCATTGATTTATGATAGCCTCCATAATATGGGAGCTTTGGCTAAAGCCATATATCACTTTTTCAATACAATTAATTTTAACACCTGCTTCTTAGTAGTATCTAAGATATTTTGCAATATATGACGAACAAGTTAAATTTTCTATTTCCATACATTTGCGCAATTTTGAATCTTCTTTTATGTATCGTAAATTATTTTAGTCATTTTCGTGACACTGGATTGTGAATTATAATGAATGATTTCGCCCTCAGTCACAAACTGTTTGCATTAAGCAGAAAGAACGCGAGATGGAATGTAATTCAAAAATAATAGCTCCCGAGCGACATTGAAATCACCAATTTTTCTAAGGCAAAATTCAACTTTTACTTACATCGACTCTTATACAGTGTGCAGGGCCGTATAAGATAAACGACTGCTTTCATTCATTATGAAGAAACAAATTATTTTAGTTGATAGCTCGAATGTGTCGAGAGTGCACGTGACGAGTGAAGAGATTACATTGGGTAGGAAATTTTAAAAATGTAGTATGTATCAATAATTGTAGCCTTTTGCTTACAAGTCTTTCATGCATTCAAACGAACTACAGGTCGGTTACGAAGGACTATCGCATTTTGTATCACGAGAATGGTGAGTTCAATCGAATGGTAGAAAACCTTTTATTCAAAGTATTGCCCATTGCAAGTTGTACAGTTGTCTAACAGGATAAAAGTTCCATAACGAAAGTATAAGTCGACTGTTTAGGCCATATTTTTAGGTCATATCGTCATAGGAATGCAAGTAATGTTCAGGGGACACTAACACATCGATTGAAATAGGTGTTCATCACAAAGGAATATTTAATTCCGTATTGTTGACCTCATCTTTACGAGTTTTTCCAATTAAGGATAAGTCTCGCCAGGCTGGAAAATCGCTCTGCAATACCCTGTCACATATTGCAACCGTTTTACCGCCAACGATCGACTCAGTAATGATTTTCTTCACTATTTCCAGCTAATTCAGCCTTACTCTTGATGCTAATGATCCGCCGGGACTTACACGATGTTTTTTTCTCGATGTTGTATTTCGTCGTTTATAATTCAAAAGCAGTTTCCTTCGTATAGCCAAGTACTGAAGTACTACTTTGGCCTTTTTTTTTCTTAACTTATTCAAGTTTCCCGAAAACTATGCTATGGTAACATATCGTATGTTAATACAGAGGAGATGTAGCGCTTTGTCTCAAAATATGTAGCTATACGCGCGGTAAACCAGTACGGCGCGTTAGCATGGTGAGGGCGCAGATTACTATTTAAGAACAAGTATTCGTGCTCCAAAAACAATTTTTATTATACTTGCGTGGATTACTTAACTTGGAATTTATAATCAAAACAAAACAAAATAAACAAATCGTTTTACGTAGTTGTTCTAACTCATGTCTATCCTTAACTTACCCTAATGTTAATTGCTATACCCTTGTACTGCAAGTAATGTAGGGTATAACTATGCAAATTAATTCAATTACTCAATATAATTTTTTGATTTTGAAATCTTTTTGCATAATTGACATAATGCTCTAGTATGCTCCGGCATTCGTGAAATACATCCTTTAAGTATGTATATTAATATTTGCATATGTATATAGGGATATACATATTTATGCTAAACTATGACAAAGTGACAAACTAAGTGATGAAAGTGATGCTTTATATGAAAATCCATTCACTCACAGTTTGCTTTCCACTCTCCCAACTATGCATGTTTATGCATTTGATTGCATATAAAGTAGGACCGCGTTCGAAACATTCGCATAAATTTCGCATTTTCATTTTGTAAAGCAAAAAGCCCAATTCCCGTGAAAAGGCGTGATGCAAATCTTATACTATCGCCGCTGCTTGCTTGTATGCTTGCGAATACATGTTGAGAATGTATGCCTAAGTATGCGTTCAATTTTGTGGAACGTTGTTTCATTTATGTATGATCACGTGCAAAATTGCTCCCATAACGGTTGACCATCGACGAATAATACATGTGCAAAATGACTGCTCAATAAAAAGAGAGAGATGCTTCAAACAGCAACGTAAGCATTACACGCGAACACTCTTGTAAGCAAAAGCACACGCAAATATGCAAAATATAACGCTTGGCTGGTCGTTACAGTAGTAGACGATGGAAAACAAACACTTGTATGTGTAAATGAAACCCTACACTTAGTAACTGAATGTCGTTAATGTTAACATTCTTTTGGCGACACACAGCGTACATATGTATATGCCATAGGGATCCAAAAAATTTATGTTGTTGTTTTTATAAAATGAGATTTTCAGGATATACCCGAGTCCTCTTCTCTCTAAGCCTTTTTTTGACTTGAAAGTGAAGTTTTTTCATATAACGGCTAAAACCCCCCACAAAAAAGAGGAACTAGAGCAATTGTGTCTTCACTGAAGTAAATTTTGACCGCTCAAGCTACATATAATCATATGCATGAATAAAAAGAAAGTTTTATTAAAAGTCTTAATTAACTTTTATACTGAACTTTTGAAGGACTTCCAATACGCATATGCATCAAAATGTAAATCAAATTTTGTAGTAAGTCTGAGGCAATTTTTTTATTAGCAGGCATACATTCGCGCGAGTGAACTAATTTTTTAACTTATGCGTCAAGCTAAGAATATATGTAAAGTTTCAACCTTCCAGCATAGCTTTGGCAACCTAGAGAGTTGCAATGCAAAAACTTGAATGGACCGACGCGCTAGTTAACATCACATAAGTAAAAAAAAAACGTTAGCAAGTGAAAAATCTAGTATGCCTCCAATATTTGGAGGTAGATAAATTAAATTTAACCATTATTATATGTAAAGCTTCTCGACTGTTTTATACTCGAAAGTATACATAAAAGTCTCCCCTTGTCATGTTTCTTTCTTTTTTCGAATTCTCATTTATAAAGAGCGTTGTTCCACCTGTTAAAACTTTGTCTTTTGAATTGTATGGGATCGCAACTGGAAGTTCCTTGGCTGCGAAAACTTGACCAACAGGTTTAATTTTGTGTATCACATATTCCAGGGCCCCGTAGACCACTTTACTTCTTCTACCAAGCGAATTTCCTGAGAACTGTAGTTCTCTCGCTCAAGAAGCGAGAAGAACGCTTCCTGTATGTGGCGTTTTGACCCAAAGGAAAATAAAAACACTAGAGAGACCTCAATTGCACCCCTATGATAAACGAGTCCATACAATGTGTGACAACTAGTGACCCCTATACCTAACTAAGTGTAAGACACCGTGGGATTAAGCCTTCAGGACAGGAATTCACTTTGAACTCACGAGAGATATCTGTTTGAATATCAATTCATACGGCAATACCATTAGAACGATTACGTTCATTTTCAAAAAAATTTTGGAAGCTATACAACTATACCAATTTACTCTGCATCATTGTATCAATATAATTATCCCTGTGCTTCCAACAGTTTACAGATGTTCTGGTATAACAGATTCTCAGCTGATACGTACACTTGTATTCCCCAACGAGGAGTGTCACTCTACCATGTTAGTCCTGCCCATTGTAATAAAAATTTTTAATCAGTGGCGCGACCTTGTCAAGTCAATTTGGCCGTCTATTCACGTTTTACGGAAACATTTAGAATTAAAAAAATTAATATAGAGTTTAAATAAATACAGTTAATGACTACAGATAAATTTTAGACAGACTATAGCAGGTATTGACATAAAAATTTAAAATAAATCTGCCCTCGACTTAAGATAACAGAATAGCCCTGATCACTCAAATGATGCATTCAACAATAAACGAAATTCATTCTATTACTTATACTCATCACTAAAGGATGAAAATGCATTCATTTCGTGGAAACGTTTCCAACACTCATAAAACATTTCCAAGGACAATATAAAGCATATGCGTTCTTTATCAGGATAGAATTCGTAATCTATGCAGCACGACCGTCTGTCCATCTATAAAATGCCTTTATAGTTTCCTGGTCGCAAGCATGAAGTTTCTCGCTTTGAATTTGACAGAAACGTTGGAGGTTCGGTCAAAGAACATGCGTACGGTTCCGGATAGACTGAGAGCTTATTGCGTTTTTGTCTCATTACTCATAAACTACGATCGACACATGATAAAAATTTTCACGCGCCCGCATAATATTGTAAAATATGAAACTTTGGAAACTTTTTGTTTTATTATAGATGTTTGTTCGTATTTAAGATTCGGGCCAAGTCGCATATAACTGTCCTATTAGTTTTTCTTGAAGATAACTTTTTTATGATTTAGATCAAAGGCTCGTTGTCTTTTGTGTACAGAGTAAGCAGCTTTTTGCTTAAGACCACTTAATGGTAAGCGTATCCGAACATATGTATATTCGTTCAAGTCCACTCTCACTTCTCCACTACTAAAACCCTATTTTTTTAAAGCATTAAAGAAAAAAAGAGTTAATCGACTTTGGAGGACGAAGCTCTACGCGGTATAGTGGTGGAATATGAAAGGCTATGTTTGATTATACTTAACTTGTCCGATTCATTTTGCATTTACTAAGAGCATTATTTGAAAATCAGTTTTTAAGGGGCAAGAGCACAACAAGTCAACAACTATATAATTTTTAAAAAGAATCAATAATCAATCGAGTGACCTTTGCGTGGATCGAGACGCTTGAAATGAACTACTAAATGTTTACTTCCGAATAATTGACAACATCTTTACATATATAATATAATACATTCTATTTAAACTTATAAGGTCTAATTTAATACAGAAACGATCAATTTGTGTTGATCGATTTTCAAGCATTTTTGAAACAATTTTTGTTTTTAATATCAGTTAGAAATATTCGGTTTTTGTACATATTAGTCTCTCATTTCTCCTTCTTCATCTTCGTCATCAGCACCTTTGATATACAGAACATTATTACAGCGTATTAAAACTTCGCCTAAATTTCCTGCATTTGAAAGTAAAGAAATATATATATAAGTAATAGGGTTTTTTTTTTTTTTTGAATTTGTAGAATGCTCTTATACGATTTACCAGTAACTTGACCATCTATGTGTTCTTCAGTGTTGGCTAACTGCATGTTCATGTAACCATCCACAGATACCAAGTAGCCTTTGTATTCGTGGCCCCACTTTAACTTAATGACAACAGGTTTACCAGTCAAACCGTTTAGAAACGGTTTGGGATTAATAGGCATAGCAGCAGACATGATGAGCTACAATATTTTCTATTCCTCTTCACTTATAAGAAATGATTCAAGAAAAAAAGATAACACGACGCCGGTAAACAGTTTATTGTTAGCACGAGGAGTTAGAGATGACAATTTATTTTAAAAACAAATCGATTAATAGTTAAAGGTCTCCACACAATGACTGCTTCTCGCTTTCGTGTTATAACGCACAATACAATGCACAAAACGAAACGGCGAACACAATGCTTGTTGCAAGACCGTATGGTTTAAAGAACAGACTTTCTTTACATAAACATTTCAATGAAACGCACGATTTGTTCGGAAAGCTACTTTCTGAAGCAAAATATTAATAAAAGAAGTAAAGCGGCAAAAAGTTATTCTTTCCTGCTTAAAAATAAGTTGCATTTTAGTTTAATGATTTAATTTAATGTTTTTTTTATTTATTGATTGATTTTATTTAATAAAAATGCTAATAACCATTTTAAAGCCTAAAATATTTACGATATAATTTTGTATTCTTCTCGCAAATACATCAGTGTTTCGCTGTCAATTTTATTTTCACATTTACACATGCATGATGCGAAAAGGGAAAAGAATTCAAATTCCGGAAAACTGCTTTATGCTGTGAAGCGTGAAATGTCTTATTTGACATGATTACAAAATTTCCAAGTGACAATCTTAACAAGCATATGTTGAACTAGCAAACTGCAACGTTACGAGATATTAAACCTAAAAATAGCAAACCTTGCACGACAGATATGTGTTGCAATGAAATTTGATATATTAGGTACGCTTTATTTTCACACACTATTACACTTATTAAGTAAATCTGTCTTGCATTCTAGAGTTAGTGAAAGTGGTGCCATACACAAGACAGAAATATATTTTCATTGTTGACCAATATTTCAAAAATTATGCAACTGGCCAAACAATGGCTGTTACTGATGCTCCATTTTGCGCTATGATACGCCATTCTTTCTGTCTATATTGGATGATATTAATGTGACCGAAACGTGGTTTCAACAAGACGGTGCCACATGCCATCCATCCCGTTAAACAATCCACTTACTGTATGAGATTTTCCCTGGTCGTGTATTCTCTCCTTTCGTAAGAGACTTTGTGCCAGCAAAGCTGTGCCGGTTTGTCCCATGTGCTATTTCGCATATAACTCTATCCTATGCACATTATGATGCAATAAAAAAATTATAAATAAAAAAAGAGTAATGATGTTAAGACACAATAAAAAAAAACGATCGCGTTCCACAATATTAGAAATTTTTTTTGTATCCTACACCACATGCGGCAATTTGTGCGGACATAAGAAAGGCTTATGATAGACCCATCTTTTATTATACCTATCTATTCAGAACCATTTTCCGCATGAATTTAAGCCCGTCTATCCACGTAAACTTGTACTCAAGTGCAAAAATTTGCAATTTTTGCAATATCTTGATGAAATTTAGCAAGCTAACGTGTTTTGACCTGGGGAAGAGCGCTGTTGAAAATCGTTTGGATCGGTCCAATTGTAGGACCACCCACCCCTCATATAGCGCTCTATTTTGAAAAGTTGTTATAAGAAAAAAAATTTCAAGTTTTAAAATTTCTCTGCAAAGCTCGCTCTGTAATAGTATTTAGAAATTCTAAATTGGTCTGAAAAACTTGGTTTGGCTAAAGCAATTTCTTGAATCTGCTCTCATATAACCGTTCCTATCAAACTAAAAAGATATAAATTTTAATATTTCATTCTGAAAATTAGTCCACAATAGTAAATTGGCATGGAAATCGACGTCAAGGAATTGTAATATTTGAGGTAGCATCGCGAAGACGGGTGAACGATTGTATTAAGCGAAATGATGTAGACTATCTACGGCCGATCGTCGGCCTTGCCCGCCTATAATACTCTTACTTATCTTTTTAAACATATATGGAAGCTTGTACTTTGAATCGCGAGTAGGAGCCGGGGTCTATTGCTGCGAAGTTTCTATTGTATTATAAGTTACGTAAATTACCGTTAACTTTGTTTATGAAAAAAGGAGAAAGTAAAAAGAAAAAAAGGACAGCAAAGGCAAAAAGTTTCGTGGCACAGCGTGCTTTATTGGTGGTGCAAAATAAACTTGAAAGTAAACAAGCTGGTATTGGTAAGTGCAGCTAATATTATAATAGTCGGAAAGTCAGGTAGAACGAATAATTAATTAACGAGAATCTTTCAAATTGAGATTTATGCGTGCTGCTCCTTTGGACTTCGATCCCTAATTGTGTTATTGTTGATGATATTGTGATTATTGCTTATATTTTTTATAATACAAGTACGAGCTTTATCTATTCTATCTTAGCATATACACGCTGGTGCGTTAAAATTTTAAATGCCGCAACTTTAAACAGAAATATACGATTGCGTACATCCGCGAACACTATCCATTTTTACTGAAAACATTTACAAGTTTCTGCCAAAAATGCAAAGTTTTCCGATCCAAAACTTTCGCCTTTCGGTCCTCTCGTATTTTGTTCTTGTAGAGTAACCAATCTTTTCTAATCAATTGATCGCTTGGGCCCCAAGATTCATCGGGTCGACACGCCTTTTTAACACTCTGCAAAACAAAACTTGTTCACGTTATACGAAAAAGCAAACACGACTTTCAAGTAAATCATATACAACACCGACTTTCCAAAAAGTTCCTTCATAGTGCGTATACACAGTCCATAGGAACCATAACGGGAATTGAATAAAACCAATCGCCAAAAGTAACCAACCGGTAACTAAAGAAAAGAAGAAGACCAGTTCAATAATTTACTTAAAACTATTTACTTAAAAGGACATTTTAATCTTTAAATCTTACAATTTGCCAATTTTGGATACTCCATGCCAGCATAGGTTATAGTTTTCAATTCAGCCATTGAGTATATAAAAATGGAAAGTAATAGAAATGGCGTAATAATCGACCAACAAATGCGCCAATAAAATGAAACTGGACGATTAGTCATGTATTCAATGTCGTCGCAAAAATTTTGCAAACCTTTTCAAATTCAAATCCAAACATTTTAATGTTATGTATTCGAACGCAGAACGTACGTGATAGATATATGTATGCTTACCGTAAACCCAAGAAATGCCACAAATTTGAAATAGAGCCAAACCAAATATTACAAATGTAGCGCCATAATAGTCCACAAGATTTAATATCCATTGACCGGCCTTTAAAGTAAATTTATGTTCATACAAAACCCATTATTATTATTGTTAAACTTTGTTCTTTACTGGAGTAACATAAACGATCCCGCAAAGAAATCCGCCTACGGTAGTTATCAATGAAACGATCGAAGCATCCATCCATTTATATTGGTCGCATAGAATAGCCACTAAAGTGTTAGCCTGGGCTACAAGCGTACCAATTCCTAGTACATAGAACATGGCGAAAAATAACACTGAAAAGAGCTTTACAATGAATTTCAATTAAACAAGCTCGTTATTATGGAATTAATGACAAAAAGTTGAGAATAATTGATAGTACTTGTGGGGCAGCTTCAAATTTTGCAATCGCGTCTGGATAAGAGATGAAGGCTAAGCCAGTACCACTACGCACCACTTCATCCACCTCTACATTAAGATTATCAGCTAGATTCCCCAAAATTCCAAATATTGTGATACCAGCTATTAAGCTGGTGATTGTGTCAAGGCTTGTAACAATCATGGCATCCCTGTTAAAAACAAACTATAGATTATTTTAAATTCGTTTTCAATTATCTCAAATAGATTCTACAAGTCTACTCCATGCGAAGTTAACATTCAAAATAATAAAAACAAGTAGGAAAATTATATTCGGCGATGACCGAATCTTTTATACCCATCACCGTTATCCTGAAAAAGACTACAAAAAATGAACAGAATTAAATTTTCATACTCTGTAATGCTAGGCGGGCACGGCAATTTGGGCAAAGACTGTCACTGTAACATGGTCACACTATGATATTTGAAGCGCATACAGCCATTAGATGGCCCAAAGGAATAAGAAACTATCCATGCTACTATGCCTCAATGCTTTCACTTAATGGAATGAGCTGCGTACACTACAAGCTACGCATCAACGCACGAACCCGTCACTGGGAGATATTATCAACTAGAGGGGCCAGTAGCACTCAGCTGGAACATGCTACTCCGATCATCTTATTATCTTCTGATTAACAATTTTTTCAAAGGATCACCATTCATGGCCTTTCCGAGCAGCTCTTGTCTTCTTATAGTGATGCTTATAAAAAACTAACTCTTTCCTATGCCATGCTCTTGAATGATCTCTTAACTATCGTTTGCCTAAATAGCGCCTGACGACGCGCAGAGTGAAATATTAGAGGTTCTACGTACCACTTTCATGTCTAGCTGTACGGCGGATAATATGTGAGCACTGTAATTACCTGTGTGAGTTGTGGTCAAATTTATTGTACGATGAAAACATAACAAGCGGTCCCAAGCCCACGGCCAATGAGAAAAAACATTGCACAACAGCTTCCATCCATACCTGAGTATTCGAAAATAAATCAAAATCATGGAATCAAGTGAAATGTTATTGTATTTGATGTCGACTTTAGAGTTTACCTTTAAATTTAATAACTCACTCCAGTTCGGTTTCAAGAAATATATGATGCCATCAATCGCGCCGTCGAGTGTTACTGCACGAACAAGCAGAGTTATAAGAATGACATAAGGGAATATAGCCAGAAAATATGCAGCTTTGCCTGCTGTTTTCACGCCTTTAACGATAACCAAAAACGTGGTTAACCAGGAAATAAATAATGCAAGAGTCAATCTCCAATCCGGTAAACCGATACCTTCGGAAATGTCGTCGTATTCATGAATGACAGTTTTTCTAAATCAAATCAAATATAATTCAACTTAAAATAATTGGTAAAATTCCTCTCTAAAAAATATCTTTTTTTTTTTTTAGGAAAAACTAACACGAAATACAACTCGGAACTGCTTTGGGGTTTCGTTTGATATGTTGCATTGCTCTTGGGTTTGGAATCGACACAGTTTGTCTCCCATTCATCGCGGCAATAAGACCAAGGTAGAATCTTTTGAAAGGAAGCAATCAAATAGTATAGTGTTATAGCCAAAAGTGATGAATAATAAGTTAATACAGTAATGCCGGCATACGCTTGGCCAACGCCTACGCCTACAAGAAACGTCACTTATGAGAGTTGGATTTAATTTCAAATTAAAAATTTCACTTATTCTCTTACCAATAAATGAAGGGCATACCGACCATATTTTCAACGAACTTCTACTTGTGAATTGACCCAACAACACTTCCAAGTAATACATAGGTTTGCCTATCAATTAAAAAATAAGTAAACTGCAATAAGCAAAACAAGCAAAAATTAACTGAAGAGAGTCTTTACTAGGTACTTAGTTAATCCTATTCGAATATGCGTTTACAGATAATCACGTAAAGGCCTTAGGCTCTTTATTAAATATTTCACACGTGATCCCAGTAGTTATAAACACCTATAAGCATCTAAGTTGAAAAGATGAATGGAACTGGTATTTGAGTATTGAGAGATTTTATCCACAATTCTTATATAGAAGATACATCATGATCTTTTTATACCCACCACCGAAAGGCGAGGGCTTTGTTCATTTTGTCAAAACGTTCTTGTGCGCAAGTCGGTATTGAACACAGTCCAAATCGGTCGAAAATTGGATTTTCGCCCACTACTCTTGAGCTACAAGCAATAAATCTACAAAAATTTAACGGTATATACTATAAGCAATGCTGAAGTAAAAATGGTAACAATATACCACGACTATCCATTGTTATATAGTGCCAAAATTTCATTTTTTCCAATACCTTGATAACACGCAGAAACCCTATGCTACAAAAACCCCATGACGTATATCTGTAGTGAAGATTCTCCGGTTTGCAAAATGAAGATATCGCCTACAAGCTTGAAAAGAATTTGAGAATCGCCCAAGCTATTCAAATTTCAAATAACACGACTAGAACCACCCACTCGCGTATATAAGAAAGCCAGTGAACACTTTTGCTTTCTCTCCCTCTCTCTTGTTAGTTGCTCATGCAGATACACGAAATGGCATAAATGTGATGGATATAAGAAATTCAATCACAACTGAATGTAATTTTCTCACTTTTCCTTTTCAAAGCATTTATTAGCGCAAGTCGTATTCTTTTTCTTTTTTTTATCTGTCACGTCTACGCCTGTTATAGGTATATAAGAGTACTTCATATTTCTTTTGATTACATAACTTTTCAAGCATTAGTTATAATCAGTTCTGCACATGCTTACAATTTTGAAATTAGAAATATGACAGTCAAATCCGTAATTAACTATAATGGTACTTGTATGTGTTGCGATCATTTTTTCTCTTAAAAAAAGTATTTATTGAGAAAAATTGGCCGAATATATATTAATTATGGTATTTTCCATAATTTTTTACGACTTTTTGCCATCTTCCTATCAACAAGAAGATACCAAGTCGAAAGAAAGATATTGGTTTGGCAGCGATCGAATCATCGACCCATTTTCGTACTTCTTCAGCATTACGAGGCACCAATCAAGCCATGTTTCATCGATCTGAACAAATGTTAAGCAGAAGGCGCTATGTCTGGAGAGTACGCTGAGTGCGGCAAAACTTCTAATTCGAACTGCAACAGTGTCTCCTTGACAACCCTTGCAACGTATGGCCGAGCGTTCTCATGCAACAGGATGATTTTGCGTCTGTTAACCGCTCTTCTTGGTCTTTCTTACACCCATACCTCGTTCAATTTATTCAATTGATCTCGATAGACATTTGCATTCGGTTTTAGCAGCTCGTAATACACTATATCTTTCTGATCCCACCACATGCACATGCAAAGCTTGAATAGGCCATAAATATTCCGCATCGGTGGCGATATGGGTGACTCTTCTGGATTAACCCATGACGTTTTACGCTTGGGATTGTCGTAATGGATTCACTTTACATCGCCAGTCACAATACGCCACCAAAAAGTTTTTGATCCAAACCTTAAACAGAAGTGTGTTTACTTTCGGAACCATTCAACGAATGCTTATATATCGCCGTGAATTTTTACTTTTATCAATTTAACCAACACTACGGTTAAATTTCAAATTAATTCTTAAGCGGCTGACAAAGACCTTAAAAGTTTTGCATTTCTATTTTTCAAACATCCTTCTTTCCTAACTGTGTTAAACGGTTTGTTGTCCCATTGCAGACGTTTTCAAACTTATGCAATTTTTGTAAACATTTACAAGGAGATAAACAGATTGACATGACAACAACAATAACTACTACTTTTTCATGCGCAACGCCGCTTGCGACAAATGGAAGAGTAATTTAGTTTAACTTACATTCGTCTTTTGCCTGAATTGTTTGTTTACATAATAGGTTCAAATTGCGACTAACGCAACAAGGCGAGTATTAAAGGATATAGAAAGACCCTGAGACATCTCTTAATAATTGGCGAAGGTTCGCGTCCTGAATATGTTTGGTTTGCGGGGACGTATACAAGACCCGCCTTCTCTTATACCGACGGGAAATAATTCTGCATGGATCTAAATCGATCTAACAGACAAACAAGATTAGAAAATGAATTATTTTCTGAATCAGTCCAAGCTTGTCTGTCCGATAACTGTTCATGTGTTTTTATATTCAATTTACATATCGCAGTTTTTGAGATATTTTGATGAAACTTGTTGCACTGAACGTTCGATTCGGATCAATTCACTTTTTCTTTCGATCGCCAAATTACGGCTTGCTTTGAAAAATCGCTATCTATGGTATTAAGGTATATGGCCGACCATGGCCGACAATAATGCTTTTACTTATCTTTGTAATTTTAGCAGAAATTTTTCTATCTCCAACCATCCTAAAGAAAATTAGGATTCTATACATTAATGAGACAATTAATTGGGGTAAGTAAACGGAGATTAAAATTTTTGAAGTAGTAGAAGTAGTAGTAATCACTTAAATGGTCGAATCTGTTGAACCTACAAATATGCCACACTGTTAAATGCTAAACAACCTTTCCCCAAGTAGTAGTGTTAATTTATGGATGGAATGGATTAACTTATGAATTTTGTCAGCAGTTCTAAAACGACCTAAAAAGAACAAAAACCTGAAATCGGAGTAATCCGGGAACTACATTTTATAAACATTTGTAGTTGGTTATGTTAAAGGCATCTGTGTATCTCTAACTCACTTTAATTGCTAACCAAAATGTGGGTAATAGCCTAGCATCAATTTAAGGAATCAAAAAAACAAAAAAAAAAAAGGAGAAATTATTGCAGGCGCAGTTTAATTACCCCCTTGGCTGTGTTATGGTTTCTAATTTTTATTCCCGTAAAGCAACTAACAATGAAGTGCTTTTGAAAAAGCAACAACTTTTTATCAGATGTTTTCAAAAGTTTATCAAAAATCAAGAAAACCCACATACATGCACACATCAACGATATAAAACTTGAAATTTCCTTTCCACGCAATTTTTCTTTTTCTTTTTTTTTTTTTTTTTGCTAAAGAGATTTACATAAAAATGAAGTATTAAATATGAAAGATTAAAAGACAGTTATCTCAGGTCTGTGATAGCCTCGATAGCCTTGAGCCTTGAGTATTGTTAATTACTCTGTTCAAACACTAATGATTTGAACACGATATTCCGCAATATTCAAGTGTTCTCAGAGCGGAGTCTTCACAGCGGTATACTCTGTTAAAGGGGTAAAATTGTTAGTTTTTTTTTTTATATTTAATTCATTTTTCTTTTCTTAGTTGTAATCTTTTCTTATTTCAATTATTTTAAATAAATCTTATGCACGAAATGAATGTAAGTGTGCGTACATGAGTTGTTAATATCTTTTCAATACCATATGGATACAGTAGAATTGTCCCAGAGTATGAAATAAGAAATTAATTTATTATTAATTTTCTATACTTCTACTGTACGTTGAAAAAGTTCTTCGTTTTTTTATCATTTGATACAAAGTTCAGGTTTTTTTTTTTAAACGTCGGTATGCTCTATGAAATGAAAGAAATCAAAATCAATTGTACCAATTAAAAAGAGCACCACGATGTAGGGAACTAAAAACGCACCGCCTCCATTCTCGTATGCGGTAAATGGAAATCGCCAAATATTCCCCAAACCAACAGAGACCGATATGCAGGACATTAAAAATTCTAAACCGCTAGACCAACTCTGACGCTGTTGATCTTCGACATTGGGATGTCGGCTAGATTTTGATGTTGTAATCTTTGCATCTCTATTCATATTCCGTTTTTCGCTTTCTGTTTCTTCTTCTCTCTTGACTTTTATTGTTTATCAAATTTTTTTTTGTTTCGCTTTTTCCTTCTATTTTGTAATAACTAGGAAATATTTCCTTTTAACACTTGCCTAAAAAAAAAAAAAAAAACAAAAAAAAAAAATTATAAAAAGTTCTTCAAAAAATGCACATGTAATCACAGTGAGAGGAATTTCACGTTCTTTTACGCATATGTAATTATGTATGTATATATATATATATATATATATAATATATATATTAAATATATATATATATTAACGATATATTGTATATATATATATATTAACTAATGACGAAAAGCACAAAACCTCTTTAATACTGACAAAGTTCACAAGAACTGTACAAATAATGTTCGCATAACTGTCCGGATGTGTTTTCTTTTTTATATCGACGCACTCTTCTACTTAGCTGAGAAAACTTAATAATAAATAAAAAAAAGGTTCGAACTCATTCTAACGGTTCACAACAGATGACTGCCGTCGAAAAAAGCTTTTCGTTGGTTCCTTTGATCATGCCTATCGTTGCCACTTGCCTTAGTAAAGAAAAGTATTCGGCAATAATTCTGCAAATTGAAAGAATAAAAAAAACTATGCAAGAATGAAAAGTTTATTCTTTTCTTTCTTTTAAATTGAAATTTTATCAATTGCTTAGATACCACATCATCTTTACAATACATCATCCATTTGTAGTAAAGAGGAAAGCTAAAGGGTCTTCCAAAATGAGCTGGCTATTTAATTTTTGTAAATAAAACGCTTATTACATTTGATAATTAACAATCTCTCTGTCCGAAAGTATCATAAACATTGCATAAATATTTTATAAACAATACAATTACTATTCATTTCATATTTAACTCTATCGATTTTGCATCTTAATGGGTGACTAGTAAGCGAATAGTGGAAACATCATGATCATGCAAATCCGATCAATTAGTGACATAACATCAGTAAATAACATCGGTGCACCAAAAACAACTCTTCGCTTATTTCTTAACGAAATACCAGTAATTAAGAAAAAAAAAAGATGTAAAAAAAAGGAAAGAAACTACATTCTTATATCCTATAATATCGGGTGGACGCGACTGATTTTTTCTATTTTCCGAATAAACGCCGAAATTTGTATTAAGTATGTGTTGCACTTAATGAGTGACAAACAAAACACATGGAAACATGGAAAAGCGTTCACAGTTTTTGTTGCATAGGCATGTGGGCGTTGAAGGTGGGTCATTTAAAAATTTTAGGTCGTTTTCAAAGTCTTTTACACATTTGTAGACGATATCGTCATTTTTGCGATCGGGAAAATATTTACTACGAACAGACGCATCCAATTTAGATCAATTCAGAATTTGATGCTGCTCAGGAATAGATATACTTTGAAGGGTCTCTGAAGCTTCCTTCTGGGCATCGCAAACGTTTCGACAACATTAATATTGCATTCCGTTCATTCTTTGACGACGGGTATAATAATGAAGTCTTAGACCCATAGGTATTGGGTCCAAAACGTGCTGGGCTGGTGTAGATCAAGTTTAGCAAGATTTATTTTCTCTTCGAATGCCTTATCATTCCTTAACTAGATGCATTTTGAAGAAAAATATTGTTGTCATATTAAATGAAAACTCTGCAAAAACCATCACCTTTCTGGCGCTCAGGTGCTCATGTCAAATTTACAGTGATGAAAATATACAAGATTTTAACGAAACTTTGCTTCTTTTCATGCTTTGTTCCAATACAAACCAAATTACAATGCATACGGTAAGCTCGACTTTTCTTCAAAAATAAACTAAAACGCGTAACGATATGTGTACAAACAAAGGAAAACCGATAGGATACCACGGATTTCCTCAAACGTTTTGCGTACATATTCACAGACTTCATTTTCGAAACTTAATATTTATACCCTAACCCATTTCTAGTACAAGAGTATTAGGCTTGTACGGGGCAGCGGTTGTTACACCCAGAGGGGCTGAAGATATGACCACATTTCTGAGTCGATTTAAGTTGCCTTTCTATCGGATATCTGTCCTTGTATATTTCAGTCGCAAATTTTGGAGACATTTTCGTCAAATCTGGTCCACTGGCGTGTTTTGGCCTTATTTTGATAAACTGTGTTAAGAAAAACAAGTAAGGACGTTATTGCTTTTCAAGACGGCCCATTGATTACCCTACACCATCTCGCCTGATATATTTATTCGTTCGTTTTGGTAATAATACGCCAAAATTGCCACGACTTTATCAAAGTACAAAGGCATACTTTTCATGGAAGCACGCATCGTATGATATGATCCCAATTTAGCAAACTTAATTTCCTTCCCAAAAATTTTATTCGTTTTCAAGTTCCGTCAGAGAAAAGTAAAAATTACGCCTTCTCTGCCTGACATATATTAAGGTCTAAGAAATGGACCCATGTGATCGAAGTTCCCTATCGTGAATTTTTTTGGTAAATTGCTACTATGCACAAATTTTCATCACAAAATATGAAAAATTAAACCCTTTTCCGACGGGCTTACTATACGTAAGAAATCTTAGAAGGAGTGTGATCCAAAAAATAGATTCATGTGATTCAAATTCAATCCACTTAATTTTTATGTCCAATTATTACAGTGAGCAAATTTTCATTATAAAACATTAACAATTAGGCCTTTTTGGCATATAAGGGGTTCCGGAGAATCCTTATAAGCGCTGGAATCCAAAAAATAGATTTACGTGGTCGAAATTCGTCAAGATTGATTTCTTTGTCAATTCACTATTATGAACCAATTTTCACCACAAATTATTTTTACCATATAAAGATCTCGTTTTCGTAGAAAAGGTTATGCGGGATAAGAAAATTGCACATTGAACGTCGAAAAACTATTACTCAACGACTTTTGTTGAGAAATTTGAAAAGCTGCAGTTTGTTTCCATGTAAGGAATTTTCAATATAACATACTATATGGGGATTGATCGCAAAAGTGGGTCGTATGGTATTCTATTGTTTTTCATCTTCGCAGCGTAGTCAACATCTTTTCTATTTTTGTATGTGCTTCACAATTTAGCTTGTGCGACGGCACGTTATTTGTTCACCTATAACACACCTACACTTCAATTTAAAGGCTTGAAGCTTATTGTGTATATGATGGCTCAAATAAATAAAATAAATAAAAAATAAGCAATAATGGAGGTCTTCCAAATTCCCGAGAATATAATGCAAATAAAATATTTAATTAATTAATTTATTAAAATGACTAGACTAACTCAACTCTCTAGTCGACCTTTTTAAAAACACAGAGCCTTTCATCTTACTTACTATCGCTCAGCTTACTTTAGTCTTAGAATTTACTTCTCTGATCTAAATAAATTGTAATAATAATAGTAATAATAATATCATGTCCGGTAATATAGCATACGTTACGTTGCCAGTACGCCGAAAGACTCCCTTATTATTGCTATTGCTTTTCCATTTCATTGGGATTTATTTTACTTTTTATTAAATGCAAAAACCGAACGATCACTTTTTACTATTGCTATTAACAAACTTTACATCTCATATATTTTATCTAATATTAGGGAGAAATCTTTACTATATCGTGTTATTTAAATTAATTAATTTTTTAAATCAAATATATTATAGATTTTTTGCCAAAAGAAACCCATTTTTTTGCTGCTTGCTTGCCGAAGGCGCTCTTCCGTCAATTTGCTTTTAAACTCGCACCATTTAGCCCTTGTCTCTGAATTGGTTGGGCCCCATTTGCCGCTAGGAGTTAAAGTAGCTTTAATAGTCTAAAGAGAGAAGAAACACAAATAAAAAATTATACAAATATGTTCTCATTATAGCAACGAGTGAGACGATGTAGCAATATTATCAATCACTTTCTGAATCGATTTAAGTCTGATTGTCCGTCGGTCCGTTTTGTTTATGTAGTCAGCCTACAAGTCGCAATTTTTGAGATATTTTGGTGAAATTTGATACGCCGACATGTTTTGACCCAGGATCAAGCACCACTGAAAATGATTCGAATCGGACAACTTTTTCAACCATGTCCGCTATAAGTCTTCTATCTTAAAAGGTCGTTATGTGACTAACTGTTCTAACCAAAATGTGGATGTAGGGTATTCGATTTTGAACCGCGTTTTCATTTGTTTAACATTCAGAAAGGATGCTTTGCAAATAGAACAGAATATGTGTACTTTTAACTATTCTGAGATTTGAAATTTATTTACTTATGTTGAGTAAACTGTCCATCACGCTGCTAGTAGAGCAGCAAAACTAAAATTTGGCACTTATCATAATAATATTTGAGAGTTTATCACATAGGCAAATGTTTACTACCATCTCCAAGAAATTGCAATTTTACATCAATATTTATCAAATCATGTCCACATACACACGCATAGCCGCCTTGATCTAACAATTTCATAATCCTTATTGATATACAGACTTTTTGACCGCATGTCATATTTTCTGGATGCTTAATATAAAGTTAAACTTACTGTTGTAATACTGTTTTGGTAATGGGATTGAATATACCATAACGCCCATAAAGGGAATTGAGATAAGCCTATCGCAAAGAGTATCCATCCAGCCACTGAAAAATAAATCAAACATGCATGTCAACCGATAAAGAGTCCTGGCCTTTGAAATTGTAATAAGTATACCCTCAGCCGATTTTGGATAAACATATCCTCTGTACGTAAGAGCTTCAATATTTAACATAGAATAAATGAATATAATTAGCATCATTACTGGTGTTAGAAATGACCAACACAACCGCCAATAGATTGTAACCTTTCTATGAGTCATGAATTCAATGTCATCACAAAGATTCTGTAAACCTAGAGATGAAAGTTATATTCAATTATTGAAAGCAAGTTAAGCGTGTACATTGTAAAACATACCATATAGCCAAACAATGCCCACTAACTGGAATATAGCCAGGACAAATATCACATAAGTGCCACCATAAAAATCTACTAAATTTAATATCCATTGTCCTCCCTAACAAAAAAAAAAAAAAAATAAGGCAAATAAAACAAAAAATAAATTTTAAATTTGTGCGTTTCTCACTCAATAGAATAGAAATGCATCGCTTACCGGCGTTATATAAACTAAGCCCAATAGGAAGCCGCAAATGGATGTTATTAGAGCTACAATCCAGAACTGAATAGATTTGAATTGATCACAAATGATCGTTACAATCGCGCTCTGTAAGGCTACTATGGAGCCAACGCCCAATACAAACAACATGAAGAAGAATAATACGGCGAAGACTTGTGGTACGGCCTGAAATTTCGCTATAGCATCTGGATATGATATAAACGCTAGCCCTGTTCCACCCTTTACCACCTCTTTAATATCTGCTATGCCGAGGTTGTGAGCCAAATTTCCAAGAATTCCGAAAATTGTTATCCCTGCTATCAAACTTGTTATCGTATCCAAACCAGTGACAATTAATGCGTCTCTGTTGCAGATATCAAGCCGCGTTAATAATTCCCATCATTTACATAAGAATTTTTATTTTGATATAAGTACCTATAAATATTGTGATCAAATCTGTTATAGGAGGAAAACATAATAACTGGTCCAAGGCCAACTGCCAGGGAGAAGAAACACTGGACAACAGCCTCCTTCCATACCTGGAATAAATTGATTTTTTTTTTTTTTTTTTTTTATTAGCTCATTGATTACAAGTAAGTACAAGATGTTTTACTTTTAGATTAAGCAATTCACTCCAGTTTGGCTTGAGGAAAAATAAAATACCATCTTTGGCTCCCTCCAAAGTTACGCTACGGACTAGTAGAGCAATTAGGACCACATAGGGAAAAATAGCCAGAAAGTAAGCTGCTTTACCGGAACTTTTCACACCACGTCGTATAACCAAGAAAATGATAACCCACGAGACAAATAGGCAAATAGTTAAATTCACATCCGGTAATCCTATGCCATCATCAATTTGATTTTTCTCTTTAACAACTTCTTTGCTGAAATGAAATACGTAAATAATTTATTGCTTGTACGAGATGACAGTTCTTTATTAACTCACACAAAGTACAATTCTGAACTACTTTGTAGCTTCCTTGTCGTATTTGGCATTTGATCCTTGGGTAATGAGTCTACACAGGCTTCCTCCCAACTATCACGACAGAAAGTCCATGGTAATACTGATTGAAATGATATTCCCATATAATAAAGAGTTAGAGCGATGAGCGATGAATAATAGGTTATAATGCACATTGTACCCACAGCCTGGCCATATCCTACACCTAAGATGATAACATTAAATAATATATCTTAACATTTAAACAAAGAAAATATTTACCTAAAAACGCAGGACAAATAGACCAAATTTTGACGGAACCTTTGCTGGTAAATTGTCCCAGGCACATTTCTAGATAATACATGGGTTTACCTAAGAGTTTGCAAAACTTATATAAAATTTCAAATCTTATTAAATTCGTCTAGCATGTACCTATCGGTCCGCGTTTATGTGACGGCGAAAAATTAAACAAATACTCGTATTTCGGGACATATGTTATAATCGTATATCTACGTGATCGAAGTATCCTACCGTTAACCTTTTTCCTAAATTGTAATTATGGACTAATTTGTATCATAAAATATTAAAACCTTTTTCGGTAGGGCTCACTAATCATGAGAAATCTTCCATGGAGTGAATTCTAAGAAATAGACACATGTGGTTCAAATTTGGCCCATTTAATTTTTATGGCAAATTACTGTCATGAACAAATTTGCATTATGAAACATTAACAATTAGGTCCATTTTGGCACGCAAGGATCTACATTTTCTGACAATCCCTGCGGCGATATTTGAAAAATAGACCAACGTGGTCCAAACTCAGTAACGTTGACTTCTTTGTTAATTTACTACTATAAACAAATTTTTACCGTGAAATAGCGCAAATTATACCCTTTTACCTTATAAAGATTTGGTTCTAAAAGGAACGCAAATATAAAAGGGTGTTCAAAAAATCGCACCAGTCGAACCAAATTTTTCATACCAACTTAGAATATCAAAGTGCTACTTTGAAGTCTGTGCTTAGAGTGATTGAAAACTTTCGAGATTATGCGTTTTTATGACTAAATTCCTCTTATACACAATTAGCACAATTTCAATTCCAACTCGATTACGGCATGTGAAATCTCAGTTTTTATAGCGATCCCGTGAATCATAGAATGCTTAAAAACATATTTAAGTTGATTAAACTTTAACCAGTAAATTATGAGAGAGTAAAAACCAGTCTTGAAAAAAAATATGGTTTATTGGAACCCATATAGGCGCTGTTTATGACATTTACAAGTCAAGCAATTAACCAATTATTAGTCAAAAAGTTGTTTAAGGAAAGCTAGTTAAAATGTTAGTTCAAATGGACAAGGTCGACAGTTGAATCCCCTGCGTCATTCCGTCTAACAGAGTTCTTCACCTACCTTATTGCCATGAAAATATTGAAGTGGGAGGAGGAAAAATTCTTTTTGCTAAGCATGCTTATATGGGAAGAGATCCATGTCTTCCATCCAAACTTGTCATAGTAAATGTATATCCCAAATCATTGTTCCAAAAATTTGTACTTTTTTGACTTAAAAGTGACCATTTTTCGTAAGAAATTTTATATGTATATATATATATACATAATGGGATTGATATGATGATTCGAACTAAGATGAGCCCATCTTTTCTTATAACGATCTATTCAGAATCATTTCCTCAATCGACTGAAGTTTCCCTGCGGCTCTGAGGGTTTTCCATGTACTTTTGTGTTCACCCTATCTGGCTACAACTCGTAAGAAACGTGAAACTGTACAGGGGGCATAGAAGCCTAATTTTTAATATTTAACGATTGGAATGGGTCTATAATAGTAATTTCGCAAAGAAAGTAATTGCATGAAACTTGGATCACATAGATCGATGTCATTTCATATACGGGCTTTCACGGCGGGTAAGTCTCTATATGACAACATGCTCAAATTTTTAGCACTTTGGGATGAAAATCCTTGAGAAATAATAAGATCTTTTGCAAATATACTAATTTGCTAAATTTCAACCGGTTGACGCTTTGACCGCCTTTCTATATAAATGTTGCCAGGAAAAGCATGGCTTCACATGGAAACAAAATAGAATTTTTATTATTTAAAACGAAAACAAGTCGAGAATAGGCTTAGATGACGCAGTGTAGTGTTAACAGTCAACCCCCTGGTCGTACACAGTGCTTTTACTTATGTTCTAATGTATGTACTTATGTATGTAAAAGTTATCATGAACAATTTTTCTAATTCTACTGCATTTTCCGTGACACTTACCTCATTGCTCTTGTATTTATGAAGTTTACAGCGTATAAACTTTTACAATTTGATAATGACTTTTTTAATTTAACACTAACGCATACAATTTTAAACAATGTAACTCACTACGTTCGCCATAAAGTAAATAAAATATGTAAAAAGCTTATAGCGCCCGCGGCCCGCGGCCCGCCATAAAATACCCCACGTGACTTCGTTTGACACAGTCATTCATATGAAGTCTTTTCAGAATAAAGCTTCATATCGGAAGTAGTCAAAAATTGGCTCCAATTGGTACCATTTCGCCCTTAGGCCGAAAGACGACAAAAGTTTGCGGTGTGTATGTGGGTTGAGCATAAGAGAACAACGGAAACGGACAAACAAACATTCGGAAACTAATTCTGACTCGACCTGTACATACTCTTAACATACTCTTGTACCACAAGCGATCTATGCTAAAAGGTATAGATTTCGTATAACATCTAAATTATTATAAGATTTGTCAATGAAGAAGAACTGTCGACATTGGGGGATAATATAACTTGAGCTACTATCTGTCTGCTGCCTACAAAAGTTGCACATAACAAAGAATTGATCTTATATAGTCATGAATGTGCTAAGTTCACGTTAAAGCAATCTTATCTCAGCCGTTCATTAACTATAGTTATAGCATACCTATGACAATTAGGACAATTATGTAGGGTATTAGGAAGGCGCCTCCACCATTTTCATATGCGGTAAAAGGAAATCGCCACACGTTGCCCAGTCCGACCGACATGGATATGCAGGACATTAAAAACTCAAGTCCATTTGACCAATTTGCACGTTCGTTTTCATCAGTTTTCCCACTCTCTTTATTGCAACGCTAAAATGGTAAGAACAATAAAATGTTAAAATGCAAAAATAACGCAAACTGTATAAAATATACCGACATTTAATTAATGGAAAAATCCATACTAATGTAAGGTATTAGAGCACATTACCCGACAAATAGTTCCTCTTACAATATCTTCTTTTTTTTTTTTTTTATACGGTTTGGATGAGTATCATTCGGAATATTTTCCGAAGTTATAACGAGTAGATCGTCATCGCTTTGCGAGCTTGGGAGTTTGGGAGGTAGATGTTTTGCAATTAATTTCATTTAAAAATATATTTGTGTATACATATGTATGTATGTATCGTGTCAACATGTTTTGGTCAATATTTTAACTAAAGTAGGCGTTGCTTACATGGTAAGTTCAGAGCAAAAAATTTATTGTATTACATATGTATATAATATAGAAGAAGGGTAAAAGGCCGATCTGAGATAGCAAGTTTCTTTACTTCATTAACATTTTTGTTACTCGAAAAAACAATGCAAGCAATATTTTCTGGTTATTTCTGAAGAAGTCTTCATTTGAACGCCCCCTATACGTAATTTTGCGTAATTAGTGCTAACATTGCTCTTTGTGCACTCATTGCTTTTCTTTTTTCATTATATTTAGTTCCATGTCTTAGGTAGACTCGGATACGAAGGCGAAATATTGTACATTAGTTGTGTGCTCTAATTTTAGGAGTTTTGGAAGAGAGTTTAGTAAACACTATATCGTACTGCGTAATAAGGTTACTCGATTTCAATATACAATCATCGGACTTTATGTCACGTTGTACTTGATCTTTTCGAAAGCAAAACTATGCAATTCTCTTGAGCACTGAACAAATAGAATTATAAATGAACAACAAATTTGTTTATTAATACATACTGCAAGCCGTCGCAGTTGAAGGCCCATATCAAATTCGAAACAAAGTTGTCTTGTTGAGTTGAGTTCAAAGCGTTAGAACACTATGCGAATGATTCAAAAGAAAAGAGGTAGCCGAGACACCTGTGCAGGTAAAAAGCATCAAAATGTTATCCGTTGAAGTATCCATGAAGAATGAGCAAAATCGATGGTAGTTGAACCGCCCACTTAATATTGTAGTGTATTAAAATTTGACTCTTTTGTCAATGTCTTTCTAACAAGCAGGAGCAAGTCTCAAAAACCCCGTAAAGGGTACATATTCTTGACCAATGTCAAATTCGGAACGCATCTATGTTCGTCCGTCCGTGCAGCATGCGGGGGGATAAATATTCGCCCGTTTACAGAAACAAAGATGATATCGCCTACAAACTTGCAAAAAATCTTTGAAAATGAGTCAGACATTTCAAAGAACACCCCTACCACGCCCACACGTCTGTATAACAAAAACTATGAAGACCTATGTTTTCCGTGTTTTTTTTTGGTAGAAAAAGCCAACCGTTTCCACCCAATATTACAGAATGTGAAAATTTAGCTCTTCTCTTGTCTTTTAGGGTATGAATTTTCTATATCCATCAACGTGACGTGAAGCGGATATAATTTTCGTACTTATATTTATTAAGATCGATCTCATGGGCGAAAAAGATCAAAAACGGTCCCATTCGGTTGATATTCTTCACAATCTTTTGACATGGTAAAATACTATTTTTAATCGATTCTTGTCAAGAAATGTTAGAAACGGAAAGTTGTTTTAATGTAATGCCTCTTTTTAAAATGGAGCTAAGTTATTTTAAAAAACGTTTGCCTTTGGATCGGAACAAGTCGCCGTACCAAATTTCATTATAATATCCCAAAAATTGTAACCTGTAGATTAAACACACAAACACATTCATCAGGCAAATAGACGGACGGAGATATTCAAATCGATTCAGAAAATGATTTTAAATCGATGCGGTACAGAGATTAGAGATAGGTATATGTCAAGTTCTTCTGGAAGCTCGATAAATGCATCTAAACTTAATACGTATCCCTGCCGCAAGTGACGTAGTGTATAAAAAGCAACTGATATAATTCAAAATCACTTTTGTGATATTTCAGCCTAAGTTCCAAAACGTGTTCCGCTATCAGTCATGGATTATGAATGAAAACAGCTTCAAATTGTAAGCTTTGTTGTAAATTGTGTTGTTATGGACACCCATAATAATAATCATCAAAAAAGCAAAGTAGGTTTCCATTGGTTTTTCCAGCCGCAACTCGACAGACAAAGGTGGACAATGATCGAAATAGTGAACAAATGGGACATATTTACATTATATATTTACGTGCTCGATGTGACGGATACAATAAACCTTCAAAATGCTTCGAATCACTTAATAATTTGGTGATATTTCTTTTAAAGTTTCAGATACACATCGGCAATCGTTGTGGCTGTGTGGATCACAAAGTTTTCCTGTTGTCGTGTCGTTGCGTGGATGAAAAGGATAAAAAGTTCGATAAAAACATAAAAGAATTTCACGACGATTCAGATTTATGTCTTCACTTTCTAAAGCCCTTCATGTTCATATCTTATCAAGCTTTCTTTGCGTTTATTGAACTATTTCTCTCTCTGTATTGAAAAAACAAAAAACATTTATCGTAAAAATATTGTAATAATAAATTTTATCATCGTTCTCAAAAAAAAATAATAAAAACATTTATTTGTTTGATTTTATTTTGATTTTATTTCTTATCATTAACTCATTAAATTTATTATATTTATTTTTTATTATAGCTAAGGATAAATAAATAAAAAAAAATTCATTTAACTTATAATTAATAATTCAAAAACTACGTCAGAAATTTCATCATTTGATAAGGCTTAAAAAATCAATAAACATACATACGACGGCCCAGTATTGATTAATAATTAACGATTAAGACGAAGAATTGCGAGTCGAGGAAAGCAGAAAATTATATTTAGTTTAGATCGAGTTCGCAATGTCTACTGACTCATAAATACACGCTTGCCTACATGCAATTACTTTTCTCGTTTACCTTAATCCCAACACCCCTCACTAACTCGGGTTAATTCGTGTTAAAAATTGTATTTACCCCTAAGAAGTCGACCATTAATGTCGTAAATACCGTGTACCACTTTGCCTCATACAGTTATTTATTTATTATCAGGTTAATGTGCAAAGCCGAGAAAATATACTTTTTAGTGGACCTCTCACATGTATGGGTCAGATCCAAAAAATTGACATACCTTGTCCAAATTTCAGTTAGTTTAATTAGTTTTTAGTTCAGATATGTATGATCAATCAATTTTCGTTGCAAAACATTAAAAATTAAGCCGTCCACTGCCTCCTACTAGCATAGGTTTTACTACCAGTTTTACTCCACATTTAATTGTCGAATATATTTACACATATTCAATGAAATGAAATGAAAACTCAAACCTCCTATGTCAGCTCTCCAAGCAAGTGAGTAAGTGTCCATCCAAGGAAAGCAACTTTTTAATCTTAAAAGTCTCTAAGCTAATTAGCAAAGTACAATTTGATGATCGGCTAATCTATCGCATCAGAGTTCGATCCTGTGTCTTTCGGTTGAAAGGTGAACATCCCAACCACTAGACTACACAATAGTCATGCGTGACTCAATAATTTTTATTCAAGTGTTTAAAGTTACAATAGAAATAAAAAAATTATAATTTTTCGTATGGCAAAAAAAACTACAGCGTCCAGTAATGAAGCGCAGTAAAGAAAGAACTGCGGCCAAGCGCAATTAAAAGTCGATAGAGCTTTTTATGCTCATAGAGACATATGTTGTAACTAGATTGCGAACCCACGCCATCAATAACGCAATGCAATTCTGTTACTTATCTTTGGATACACCAGGTATTTACCTATGAAATGGGAATTTTCATAGAAAAAAAGAATCCTATCTGTATCTTAATTCTCTTATACATCGGAAAACCAACTCAATCCTTTTTATTTTCGAAAACTTGTATGTAACTTGTTCAAATCAACAGTGAATATTTTGCACATGGAACGCCGCTTATCTGAACTATCTGAGCAAGTCAAATATCTTGCACACCTAGGTTTTCTAACCGCTTCGGCATCAAATTTCAGAAACTTGTATTGGAAATGTAAGCGAATATGTAACCCAAGCTTGCTTAGCCCTTGCGATGCTAATATTTTAAGGTTTTTATAATGCCTTACGTCGAACGTAAACTAATGTAAATGTAGTTCGTTTGCCAAGTTCCCCGGGCAACGCTCCTTTGACATCGTAACTAGCGTCGGAAACGTGCTTACTATTGACATAGCACCGCATTAACCGCATTAACCGCATTAAAAGATGCTATGATGAAGAAGTAACTATTCTTCTACACGATCTTCGAAAGTACGGATGTGCTGTAATTGATGGTTCAATTTAATCGAGAACCTATCTAAATGAGCAGGAGATAGCAATGCTTTGCGAAGATTGATCATGTTTGGCGAAAATTGTCAAAGCCAACGGGGAGGAAAATGAATTTTATTTTGATGAAATTTGGCTTTGGGCCAAGAATGAGTGGGTCGTGGTGCACTATTTTTTACTTGCTTTTTAAATAACTTAACAAATATCTCTCAAACCACCTTACGTTTGCTTATTTATTTTCCTTGTTTTTTTTCTAACATCGTTTGAGTTTCTAACATAGCTTTACTTGTCAGTTATTATTATCAAGCAAGTTCAAGATGACAGTTTTATGAAGACTTGTTCGCCTCCCTCTTTGTTATTGGAAACGGTAAACTCACTATGCCTATCAATCAAAAGCATTATAAATCGATGATTTTTTTCTTTTTTTTTTTTTTTTTGTTGCGTCCTATAGCATCAATTCGATGTAAAAGTGACTTTGATCTTAACTGATTGAATATGTCTTACTGTTATTATCAATTATTCTTTAACTACTTCAGTTAACACTTCTCAATTGCTACGCTCAATTGTTGTCGTCTTTTATGTCCATCACAATCATTACCTTTGACATAAGAAAGACGAACAAAGACTTGACCCCCTTACATTGTCAAGCACATAAAACTTTCACTGCATTCTCTCACTCTGACTTCTATACACA